TATATATTAATGATCTGGACTTGGGCATAGAGAGCACTATTTCCAAGTTTGCAGATGATACAAAGTTAGGTAGGGTAGTAAATAGTGAGGAGGACTGTAACCAACTGCAAGCAGACATACACAGAATGGTGGAATGGGCTGACATGTGGCAGATGGATTTCAATGTGGATAAGTGTGAGGTGATACACTTAGGTAGGAAAAATGATAGGAGGCAATATAGACTTGGTAGCTCAATCTTAAGGGGGTGAACGTACAGAGAGATCTGGGTGTTCAAGTAAGCGAATCATTAAAGGTAGCGGGGCAGGTAGATAAGGCAGTAAAAAAGGCATTTGGTGTACTGAGCTTTATTAGTAGGGGCATAGAGTATAAGAGTAGGGAGGTTATGGTTAATCTGTACAAAACACTGGTTAGGCCTCAGCTGGAGTACTGTGTCCAGTTCTGGGCACCTTACTTCAGGAAGGACATTAAGGCACTGGAAAGGGTGCAGAGGAGATTCACGAGAATGATACCAGGAATGGGGAACCTTAGCTATGAGGACAGGCTGGAGAAGTTAGGACTTTTCCCATTAGAGCAGAGAAGGTTACGCGGGGACCTGATAGAGGTCTTCAAGATCATGAAAGGTTTCGACAGGCGAGATAGGGAAAAGCTGTTTCCGCTGGTAGGTGTGTCTGTGACCTGTAGTCACAGTCTTAAGATATCTACCAAAAGAAGCAGAGGGGAGGTTAGAAGAATTTTTTTCACTCAGCGAGTTGTTCGAATTTGGAATGATCTGCCTGAAAGGGCAGTGAAGTCCGATTCGATAACAGCTTTTAAGAGAGAACTGGATAGGTATCTGGGGAAGACGGGTTTGCAGGGTTATGGGGAGAAAGCTGGTGATTGGGGTTAGTGAAAGTGACTTGCTCTGTCAAAGAGCCGGCACAGACTCGATGGGCCGAATGGCCTCCTTCTGTGCCGTAACATTCTATGAATCAGTGGGGCAGTATTTCACGCTAAGGTGCAGTGAACGCTATAAGATAAGTGGAACTTTCTCTAACATGCCCT